AGCACAGGAAATTCAGCTAAAAAAAATTAAAATTTTGGAGAAAATGCAGCCGCCGCATTCAACCGCTTCCAACGTCAACAATATATTCATACACACGAGGATTTCAAATAATTGCTGGCCAATAAAAAACAGACAAACACAAATGCAATAGAAAAATTGCGAATAAAACTTTTACCAAGAAATAATGCAACTCTGCAGAGAATAGGTGATTAACGGGCCTATTCTGCGTTGGTAACAAAAATTTTGATACCGGTTAGTAAAGTTACTGTCAATGTTTGAACCCTTTTCGTATTCTCCATACTCTTGTAACCGGTAAATTTTGTTACCAAAGAGTGTGGAGAATATGAAAAGGGTTTAAAAATTGACAGTAACTTTACTAACCGGTAACAAAATTTTTGTTACCAACCTGTAAGTAGCGTATATTGCGATCATCCCTTCCCAGAATTTTATTTTCAACGTAAATAAGTACTCATGCTTCAACGTACGAGGCTGTGTTCTTCATATTTAATTTGTTTAATGCATGTTTGTAATTCTCAACTAGCTTCTAAAAATGGTATACGCTATTTTGCCTCCCATTTTTGCGACTTTCAATCTATTAATTGTAAGGCTCCAACGCCTGACTGCCGAGGCTCCGCTGTCTTGGAGCTCAAGTACTTTTTGGACTGAGTTAGTGCGAAGAGCTTGAAACCATCAGCAAGTTAAGCGATTTACAGAAGGTTTTAATGCCAGTAAATTATTGAAACCCTTCCGACCCGTTGAATGTTAACAGCACTGAAAGCAGCGAAGAGGGGCACAATACTCGATATACTATACGACTTATCTATTAAAACAGCGGAGAAGATGTTGACCTGAACCCACGAATGAACCCTGAACCCATTGGAATTTAAATGTCAAATGTTTTGCCCAATCCACAGAAAGTGTGACTTTACCAAATGCGCTAATTACCGCGGGATCAGCCTTTTGAGCATTCATTTGCGATACAGTCTTATCTGGCGTATTTTGTGAAAAGCTGAAGCTCGCCTTCGACTAACTGATTGGAGCTTATCAGCGTGGCTTTAAACCAGATAAATCAGCATATATCAAATCTTGGGAAAGACCCGCGAGAGGTCTGAGAGAGATGAGCATGATTTCAAGCCAATTTCGAAAGCGAGAAAGGAAATTGTTTTCATGTTGCGGCGTGGGTTTGCTTGTGAAGTATCTCAAGCCCTTAAACAAGCAGTCAGCGTATTCGAAGTATTTAGCACTTCCGTCCAATGCTTTTACTTCAGCACATACGACCCTCCAGCGAAGAGTGGAAACGGTACGCTATAAGAAGTGGGGAGTCCATCCATGTATACACAGTTGGCGTAAGGCTCTAAGGTAGGGAATCTCCCTTAGCTTTCGTCTTCCGGATCACTGTAGCATTTTTTAGGCGGAACTGATTGCAATTACCAGAACCACAAAACTGGTAAAGTATGATATGATGCCCGGGGCACTGCGACATATCAGGGGAATTGTAAGGCCAATGAACTAGCGCGACTCGGCACTAACCTTCCTATTGAGGATTTAAACGACCAATTAGGAATATCCCTTAAAAACTTGCAAGCTACTTATTTCCGAGAGGTTTACTAAAATAGCGAACGACAGACAGGCAGGAAATTGTGGCCGGAGCTCAGCACTAAACGCTCTGGGCTACTAATGAGTCCTAATCTGTTATAAGAGGACACTGCCTAATTGGCAAGTGTGTTTATCGGCTAGGCATATGACAGAATTGTCAACTGTTCCTGGCCTGCTCTATCCAGACGAGGTTTCTTCTTTTCTACGTAGATAATCCTTCTAACTTGCGGGACCCTAGATGCGTGGAAATCAGGGATCTTCTAAAATTCGTGCGAAGTTCATAATGACTTTAGGAGAGATTGTTGACCCCCCATGAGGCATTACAATGGGGCCTGAGTGTATCCTATAGACAACCACCCCAACTACCTTACCTAAGCTATTTGCCGGTGGTATTGAAGGAAGAGGAAGTAACGCTATATGATAGCATAGCATAACATCGACTAAGGTAAACCTACCAAGTTCACTGGGAGCCAGTTAGCCATCGGTGATCTGCGATCTGTGATCTGCGTCACCCCTGCACTCTGTCTGCATCATCCTTTGTGACCAATCCCATCATTCCAACACCATAAATAATGGCGAACAGTAAAGCTATGCAAATATATCCGTTATTCGCGGAATACACAAAAACTGTAAAGCAAAGCAAACAAAACAAGGCATCGATGATAACCCAAACGGTAAACAAAAAATTCGTGCTGAAATAAGTAAAAAGAAGTGAATTTTAATAAAAGTAAATAAAAAGAAAGAAAAAAAAACACCAAAAACGGCAATGTTGCTGGCCGACGCAGAAAAAGTGCAACTTACCAATAAAATATTGGCATTGTGGCAATAAAACATCACAGGCGATTAATTTCATGAACTGGCAAGTGAAATCATAAATAGATTTATGGTGTGTATCATACATATGGAGGTACATTAGGATGGTCCTTAAAATACGAACATCTAAATTTTTTATGGGACGCCCCTTTATTTTTTATTTTTGATGGCCAATTTTTTTTAATTAAATCTGATAAATTTGAAATTTTATTGAAATTCATTTATATAAAGCAATAAACTCGCCGAGTTTTAGCTGGTTAAAGACACAATTTTTTCGAATTATTGTGATAAAAAAAATCAATTTTTCAAACCTGGTAGCGACCCCTAAAATTTGTTTTTAAATTTTTTAATTTTCGTGGATGTGCTTATTTTTGTGTGTAGATCAAAATAAAGGAGTGCGCTATGATATTGATATTTTTAAGGACCACCCTACTGTAAATCAGTAACAACTGACTTACATATTTATGTAAAACGAACACAGCGAGGCGAAAAACTCAAACAAAATTGAATACCACAAGTAGTGCAATAGCGTTTAGTGTCTACTCAGGAACACCTATGAGGGAAGGTGAGTAAATCCGCGAAGACTTAGAGGAAAAACACTTTCATTCGCCAAAAAAATTTTAGTTTCTAAAATGCTTAAACTTCATACTGGCGAGCTTTTTTTTGTTTGAAAACAGGAAATATTGGAAGGGAATTGAGCCTAGGAAATATGCTGGATGAGAAAGAAATTCATAACGCAATAAATGCAATTTTTCATTTGCTGTGGTGTTCAGCTTGCGACGATAGCCCCAAGAAAGGGGTTCAGACCATAGGTAGAGGGATGTTAGCTATGTGGATTTGAGGAGGCAAGTGAAGAGCTGGTTGACGTCGTATAGGGAAGCGTCACAAGCCGGACACGTGTTGGGTATGTCGCGTTCGAGTCTGGATAGGCACGAATTCAGTCCGCCATAATACTCTATTAGTCTGGTCTTTCACGGTAACGGAAGCTTTTCGTCTTCGATGGGTGGTGGTTGAGCTCCTATTACAACAATCACAGGAGAAAAGTCTGGAAGTTGGAAATAGGATCCATATGAAAGCCCATCAAAGGCATTATCTGTGTGTGAGACGTGAGTTCATATAGATGCCTTCTGACGTGTTAGTCGATCGGGAGTTGCTTGGTAAGCCTTAAATCTTGCTGCTTCTCAAGCGACATAAGAAGGCATTCCGTTGCTATGCAGTATTTTATCAAGTCTGTAGCTTCACGCCACTGCATCCTACTAGTCCTTGGTGACTTATTGGTAGGATTCCGTGAAGTAAAAAAGCGAGAAAAATTGGCGAGATAGCTATTTGCCTTGGAATACAGGTCATCAATTTCATTGCTAGCGCCTAAATAGAACAATTGGCAGCGTAGTTGATCAGAGAAACTCACTCCGGTGGCCTAGACAGTCCGAATCTACGTACCCGGTACGACCCAGATTCACATCTGGTCAAGAACTGTCAGTCCATCATCATTCAACATAAGCTATTTAGGGCATTTGTATGCTATTGCAATAACTAAACAACAACCCCATTCAATTCTTCCAAGCTTCAAGGTTTGATCTCGAAAAATTAATTAGGAATGTCGACCACGCAAGTAATTGGACGCACATGGTTTTAGGCTGTGTATGTTAAACCACGCGTCGTTTGGGTACAAACCAAGATGCATCACTCTACTCGACGTACAACCTTCGATTTGAAGATAATTTATATATACGCAGCTTTCTTCTGGCTTACGGTTGCACTTTTGGTCTTTTTTGTCACCCCAAATGTATGAAACCAATGCAGAACTCAAATATCTGACGCCCGTCGACAGGCATTGGTAATTCTTCAAATGTACTGCTCACTGTACTGTCCAGTGGTGGGGACTATATTGACGCGGATGGTCCATCAGGAATTAAAATTACGCCTACAACAGCTCCAAAGCCTAGTCCTTAAGCTCGTGGAAACGCATTAAAGGAGACATTTCTCCAACCTTCTACTACCTTCCCCACACTGCCTTATGTAGCTAAACACTTAGGTGGTTAGGTAAGGTTGAAGTGGCTGTCAGTAATCCCACTAGCACACCTAGGCGCCCTTAACATTTTGGGCACATTGTGATACCATACGGGATGTTAGAACACTCCTAGTTGAGCCCAAGAACGTTCGTCTTGTGTCACAAAATGCGGGACATTCGTATAGTGGGTGCTGTAAAGTTTCTGGCTTCATCGCTGCAGCTTCTGCAGAAGTTGTGGTAGGGAACGACTTGCCTCTCCGTGTGCCGTCTATTGGCTACATGGGCTGTTAGTGGAGCCCATGATTGTGGCTAAGTCCCCCTGCTCAGCATGAGGAGATCTTTCGACCGCTTCTCGTTTCATTTTGGCCACATAAGTTTTGTATTGATGCAAGTTGTGAGACTATCGCACCTGTAACTTGCTTTTTTAAGAGGTAGAATGAGCTTGCAGGTAGCGAGCGGCATGCTTTAACCCTTGTGGGACTTTCATTGCCTGATATGAAAATCGTACTGCTCAGCCATCTCGTTCAGAGATCTACGGCAGCACGCTACTGTTCTTGAACTACATGTGACCGAGTTAAGCGCTTTAAGTGCCGTCTGACTGTTCGAGTAGGTAAATTTATTCTTACATAAGTATGACTTCTCCTGTTCGTAAGTGTTCAATCGCCTAGTTTATGACAGCGACTTCAGTTTGAAAGACACTGCAGTGGTTGGGTAAGCGAAAGAATATTTCCAGCCCCGGCCGGGCAGAGAAGAGCTCAATCCACCCTTACCGTCTAGCTTGAGCCATCGGTGTAGAGGTGCAGTCATCCCTTTTCATCAGCAGCACCTCCTGACCAGATTGTTTTCTCTGGACTGGAAACCCTATACCTCTTTGTAAAGTTCAGACTTGGTGAACGCTAATCCGCGTGCGGCATATTTCCTTTCTTTAAGATTGCGGTGTGGCCATCCTGTGTGTCTCTCCAGCCTGGTAGTTCCCTTAGCCTCTAGGCGGCGCGCCCCGCTGATTATTTTCCAACAAATTCGATTGGCAGAATATTGAGTAAGACGCGCATTACCTCCGCTAGAGCTCTGCGTAGAACCCCGCAACATGCAGAGCACTTAACATCAGTAATATACTCGTATGTACATACATGCATAGGTACATATACATAAATATACATAATATTTTCGAGAATACATATATGTATGTATATGTTTGTAAAGCGCATCAATAACCGGCACACATTGACCATGAAAGTCAGCCAGCAACAGAGGCGGCTCCTAGTCAAGAAATCCCCAAACAGTAAACATAAAAAAAAGTAAACATGAGCAAAAAAAGGTCCACCAACTGCTGGTGCAACATCAGCACGCTTTTGATAAGATAAAAATCAATCATGAATCGATCGACAATGAGACAATTATCGTATGGCATATCAACAATTAGCAATTCTTCAAGAAGGCCATGAGAACTATGCACACAGCGGCGGTAGGAGAGCAAGAGGAGTCTTGAATGTCACCCGGCCATTAGCTAGCAATTACACAATTAGTTATTAGTACTCCATAGGCTGATCGAGTGTAATGTCGCCGCGCATAGTGCTAGCATTTTGGTATGCCTTTTTCGCTTGCGTGTGTCACGCTGATGTACAAGTTGAGTGTAAGCTTATTCTAGTTAGCATTAGCGCTCAGCTTAGACTAAGCTCCACTCACATATCATTCACAGATCCATATTGTTTTCGCTTCACATGGATTGGTCCATATCAAGATAAGCGCCATATTGCCGGTTTGACGTGTGAACATTTACGCGAAGATTTCAAAAATGTGCCATGTAGGCGACCATTAGTGGCTACGGGTGGGTAATAACTTAGAAGAATGTGTTGTTACTTTTTTAAACAGAAAACGATTTCAAATTTAGATAATGATGCTATACCAGATACGGTGGACTTGTGGCATACTAACATTAAAAACCCAAATGCATTTGGTTGTCCAATGGTTCCGGGCGAGACGTGTGTTAAGTACACGTATATCTATAATAAAGGAGGTTGGTGTTGTATATACATAAATTTTGAATTTGCATTTCATTTATTTTCATGCATACATATGTATATAAAACTCACTCGGATGAATCAAACGATGGCCCTGTTTCAAGTGGAATGAAATGTGCTTCCGAGCAGATTTAGCTGCGCTAACTTCTTCAGCTAATTATTTCATATGCAGGTTGAGAATTTCAAGCATATCACAGCCGTATGAAATAAAAAGCTAGAGCCGCAAATCGCTCAGGCGTCAGATGTTGTAGACCTTAGGGTTCACCAGTCATTTATTTAGCAAATAAGCTCAGCGAAGAAAGAGTGTGTTAGTTAGTTAATTCGTGGGTGTAACAGAACAAGAGACACCGCCACCTGAAAGATTTGTGTGTGTCTCTTAAAGTGAGAGTCCCTAATCCAGTGTGGCAAAGATACCTTCGGCTTCTCTAACAAATCCTAAAAGGGCCTTGGTGGGCGCATTCTTTATAATAAAGAGTTCAACCATTTGAAGCTTTTAAGTGGATCAACCTTTCTCCGGATAACTTCAGAGAATATGCTCTGAAGTTTCGTCACCTTCAAGGCAGAGCCGGCATTCTGACTCTGTGATCACACCCGAGACAGGTGCGCAGAAAGTAGCCTGATGTCATTTCTATATTCGAAAATGATATAATTTCTGTTGAAAACGTAACCGAAGCGCCTGGCCTGTCTAAGGCCTCCCACCGCTCCCCAGTACTTATTTAATGCGTTCAGAGTGTACCCACTCAGTAATTATGGCGACCAAAGAGGACCAATTGAGACCACAGAATGGTTCGAGCCCCAATAAGGCAGTGTGTGCCAAAATTTGTAGCGTGCCAAAGCAGTATCCAACCAGCTTGGATTTCATAGTCCTGATTGAAAGGGCCCGGATGGCTGCTCTGAAAAGATAACTAGAAGCGCCCTTCAAACACTTTTCACGGTTTACTTGCCCATGGAAATTGCAAGTTTGGTGCTGGTCCAAAAATATCTGTACCTGCCCCGTCTGTGTACTAGTGTACTTTAACACTTTAGATGACTTGACGTATCAAACACTAGGTTGCAGATTTAATATCCTTTGCGGAGTATCTTTTGGTAGATCAGCTGAATGACCTCTGACGTTTAAGGAAATATTAAGGCGGCTATCCTTAAACAGATTGCTTTCATTTCATAGAAAATGCCATCAAGGGCCTAAGCCGGTTGCAAAGAAGTCTTAGACAGGTTGCCTACGACCTATCTTTCTCAGACGCTGCCACAACGAGGGATACGATTGCTATGGCGTCACTGTACACTTTACAGAAGCCATGTTTATGCTTAGTGTCTTCATAACCTAAGAATGGCGAATTATCGGATGATAAGACTCTACTTTGTTGAACGGTTTCCCCAAAAGTTTCAGTTGTGTAAGCGCTCACTAAGGCTTCAACATGTCAGAAGTGGAGAAAAAGCCCACGTCAGGTATGATGAGAGAGGTCATTGGCAAATTAAGGACCTTGATGAGGTAATATACTCCCGTCAGCATCGATATGCTTATTCTGTATAGAGAGGCTTTTGTTGTTGTAGCAACAGTTCTCAACCCCCGGGGTTTCTGGGAGGACGATGTTGTCTTTTCGGGTGTTGCGGCTCGTTCTGGCCGCAGCGCTGTATGGGCTGTTCAGCACCGCTTTGTATTTTGTGTCGAACGGATGTTCTCCGTACGGCTCGATGTTTGGCTTCCAGTTGTGCAGGTGTCATCTCACGTTTAGTGGGGGTAGATTGTTTCGAAGCAGAGCGTAGTTCGGCTGGTTTCCACGATGACATACCACGCGGAATTGCTTTGACAACATGGGGTTGAGTTTTTAACCGCCAGCATCTTGTAGGTTGCGAGCAGGGTATCTTTTAGGATCCACGAATGCTGCTAGCTAGCGGCTTGAGGACTTCGTTCCTGTTTCGAAGCTAGTTGCAGGTGGCTGAGGCGCGGAGAGGGAGAACAGACTATAAAGCGTCACTCCGTGGCGGTAGATTTCGCGGCAAAGATTTTGAGGTTCCTTGCAGATAGTCGTTTAACTTATCGTTAGCGTTACGAAATTTGACGGATGATTGACGTCCACACAGATAGCTGGTTATCCACCGTTTCGTCCGCGCTGGAAGCGACAAGTCCAGGATGTATTGGCAGAGGGTCGCGTGGCTCACTGCGTCGAGTGCCTTCAACTGCGATTAGTACCGTCTTATCACAACGTCTACGTTGGTTCATACCTTCGCTAATCTCTGTGGTGTTGGCGTTCCATGTTGTGATGGTGCTGTGCATTTTCCGGAATCCATGTTGGTATTCGGCTAGCTTGAGGTGCTTCGTCAGGCTGGGGAGTAGTAGTCCTTCAATGGATTTCGCCACGGAGGATAGGAGGATTTTGTCTTCCCGTTGGCTGCCTGAATTTTATAGCTGGTGAAATACCCTGACGAAGGATACGGGATAAATTGCCGGCATGATCAACCGCAAGAACATCGCTGTTAACCGTATCTTATTCACAACAGCGCTGAAATTACAAGACCTCAAAAACACTTTCGACTTTTTCCGCTTACCCCTCGGCCTGGACTGAGACTAACGGACATAAGACTATGGGTTGTTGTTGTTGTTGTTGTAGCGGCTACAGACTATGGTCTACTAGGGCTGTATTTAATGCAAATATTAAACCAAATTTAAATATCATACCACACAACTAGTATCCTCATTTCAAATTCTATTTATCTATTTACCCTCCATAATTCTACATCTCGATTTTACCTAATAAAATTCCCGCAGTTCAAAACATCACCTATATGTGCGCTAAAGTGAATGCTACCAGCGGTTGTTATCGCCAAAAATATATATCCGGCTTAGAGGTAGAAGTTTGCGTTTGCGATTCACAGTTGGGTACGATGCCGTGCAATGACGCGCCGATCACGATACAAAAGTTTTTGAAAACTTGCCTTTTAACTCTATTATTAACCATTTTTGCCAGAGGTTTGGCTGCTGTGACACCATAGTTAATAAGTAAACAATAATTGCTGTTTTGGGCTTAAATACATTAATTTAAAAAATAATTATACAGTAGGTATATGCGTATCTAACTTGGTTATTCTTAGTAATGTTTTTATCTAGCATACAACTTTTCATGTGCTGCTAAATCGCTTCACTTAATCTACATCCTGCTCATCTTCATCTGTGGCTTTTTTCAAACTGCCAAACACCTTTGCCGGTATAGCCTGCTGCTCGATGCGTAATCTTTTTGCGGCTATAACATTTTCTTCATTCCCACCGTTTGTTGCGCCACCACCAGCATCAGCCTCGTCATCGTCTTCCTCATCTTCATCGCTCTCGCCAATATCAATTTCATCCGGATTGACCACCTTATCCTTTGCATTGCCTCCTTGTGTTTCGCCACGCACAAACATAATGTTTCCACTGGTTTGTGGTTTGAGTGTTTGTTGTTGTCGCGCTTGTTGCTCTGCTGCTGCCTTGGCTTCAAGCAAACGCATCGCATCACTACCGCCATCTGTTGCACTGCTTGCGCTCGTCTGATTAAGAAATTGTGCAGCCATCATATTCACTTGCGTATTGTAAGTGGCTTGCACTGAACGTTTGATGCGCAACATTTCACGCATTGTATCTTCATTACCATGACGCACCTCGAATTCTTTCCAAGTTTGCCAGAAATCAGCGGTTATGCGTGGATCACATACCTGTGTGAAAAGTAAAAGATATTTAAAATTGTATACATTAGGGAAAAGCTTTACAATAATACGCACCTGCGAACAATGCGCGTAAATAGCTCGCGCCCGATCGATTTCGCCAAGCTTAGTTTCCATCTCTGCAAACCGCACACACATAGGCCGCATGTTCTCTTCGGGCAATGCCTCAATAGCCTTCTCATAGATTTCACGTGTACGCGGTAGGCCATAGATTTCTGCTGCCTTCTTAATGAAAATGTTGTACATATCAAACATCTCCTCTGGCTTGACGGCACTAGTGGCGCGATCGTAAACGGCCATAGCATGGCGCGCTAAACCGTGCTCCTCTTCTAATTTCGCATACAGTAAGTAAAAGTACTTAGCATGATCGGGTGGACAGTTTTCCAAGCATTGTTCGAAAAGATCGCGTGCACGCTCCAACTTTGTGCCGCCATAACGTTTGAGAAATTTCGTCAAATATGCATTCCAAATATCGTATACGTTTGGCCACTTGAAAAGCGCAATACCCTTTTCATAGGCGCGAAAAGCTTCTTCAAAATAGTTGTGCTCTTCCAAAAAGAGACCATAGTTGATGATAATTTGAGGAGTGCAAATTTTCAAATCAATAATACGATCGTAGACAGCTTTGCAGGTTTTGAATGTGCCAAAGGATTCCTCTAAATCGGCGTACATAGACCACACTTTTAAAGAGCGATATAGCCGCATTTGCACTGTCTCGGTGTCGTCATGGTAGGCAACTTTTCGTTTTGGCATGGCAGTAGCTTTTTGCATTAGCCGTAAAGCACCCTCGAAGTTCTCCTGTCTTTGAAGAGATGAAAAAACATTTGGTAAACATAAAACTTGTAATCGAATAGTGTATTCGAATAAACCTTATCTCCATTTCAGCCCATTCACACCAAACTGCTGCCAAATCTTCTACTTTTACATACTCCACCTCAGTGCCGCGTTCAAAAACAACACGCGCATCCTCCACTTGATCATTCGATTCATAAAATTTCGCGAATTCTACCCACAAAGTATGCAATTTTCCAGCTGCTAATTTTGGTTGCACAGTTTGCACAGCTTCGGTGTAGGTATTAATAATCTCATGTGGCTTGCCTTCGTATAACTTCACGCGTTTGTGCCATTCATGCACATTGTGTGGATTCTGACGCAGCAACACGCTATTCAATAGCAATAAACGGCGCTCCATAAGATATTCAAAACGCGCCAATCGTAATTCTACATCAATGTCATCTTCCTCGGTTGCATGTGGATCATTTGCCACCATTTCCATGCGTTTATTTAATGACACCTCTTCAAATTGGGCATACTCATCGAAAACCTGCGTAAAATCACGTACTGTTGTAACAGTCTGTATTGCCTCTTCATAAACATCACGTGCGCGATCAAACAAACCCGATCGCACGTAGTAATCTGCCAAGGAGTTCCAAAGGTGACCCAGCTGATCGGTGTACCTAAAATAAACAAAAGATCGTGCTCTAATTTGGAACAAAGTATTTTTACTAGTGATGCACTTACCTCCTGAGCCCACTGCGTATTATAGCGTCCACATTCAACGAATGCACCTTATCAGGGTTTTTCGAAATCAAATCGCACAGTTCATTCCATAATTGATGATTTGATTTGCCATGTTTCGATACGAAATGCTCGTTGTCCACTACCGATGCCAGTTGTTGTGCTGCTTCATCTAACCGCCCCGCTTCAGTTAAATATTCAATATATTCTTCCGCATCATCTGGGCACAACTTCAAATAACGTCTGTAAACGCGTAGGGCGGTTTCCGGTATATCGAAACGTCGTACAAATTTCAAGTACAGCGGCCAAATGCGATGATGCTGAGTAATGGGCAATGCACGCAAAGCGCGATCAAACACGTGCCTGGTACGCGTAATGCGACATTGTGCCGTCATAAATACTCCATAATCCATCCAAATACGTGGCATTTTATGCATAAAAACTAGTGCTCTCTCAAAGGTATTATTTACTTCATCATACATGGGATCGTTGAGTGGGCGACCACGCACTTGCTTGCGACGTGTACGTAAATAATTATACCAGATTTTGTAGCTACCGGGTAACTCCTTGAGTGCGCGCTCAAATACAATGTTCACTCCGCAATTGGGCGCTTTGGATTTATGTTCAATATAGCGTAGCCAATGTTTTACAGAGTATGCATTGCGCAAAATTTCCTCCTCGTAGGGTACATCTTCCTCTGGCTGTAATGTAATGAACGTACATGGAATTAGGGGGAAGGGGAAAGTGCAGCTCACAACTGTGGCAAGTGAAAAAAAAATCAAGGTGCTAAAAATTTAGGCACATTTACTTACAAACTCGATATCAACCGCAATTAATGGCTTGTCAATTAGAGTCATATTTGTGGCAACAACTATTTTAATTGCTCCCGCACTATAGAGAAAACTATACACAAAAAACGTAGCAAGCGGACGCAAAATTGAAAAGAATACGTTCCCAATTCCAGCAAAACCAGCTGTTCGAAAAGATTGTCAAAATGATGTAGTGTTGTAAAATTCAAAAAACGTGAAACATTTAAACTGCACCCTGTTGAAAGAAAAAAGAACAGAATGTGTCAAGTGAAAAATTTCAAAGATGTAATGAAAGAGTTTGCTAATGTATATCGCTAAAGGTGCTGTTAATCGTGGCCATGGAAGCGCTTTTTCGAGGCATTACGCTGTCAAAATGCGAAATCGAATGTCTGCTTTCCCGTGTAAACAGCCAGAAAGTCCTTTTTGAGATTTGCTGAAATCACTTTTGGAAATAAAAATTGCAAGGTGGAACTGCATCTGAAATTACGGAAATCGCTATGGAAAATAATTTAAACTTGTTCGTGCTGCACTAGCAATGTTCATTTTTGCTCCAAGTGCTGTCCACCAAATCGAGTGTTTCCGTGTGAATATCTACGTTCTTTGCCAAAAATTAAACAATCAAAAAGTGTAAAAAAATTGGAGTTGCTTATTTGCCAATTTTTTCTTGTTTCTTCAATCATCGAAGCAACTCTGCAGAAGACGTAAAGTTGCCAAATCTTTTAAAATGTAATCAAAAAGCAACTCTGTATGCTTTGTTGGATATAGCGAAGGCAAACAATCGATGAATGCTTCTGTCGATAGTGTTTCGATGTTACATAAAAATTAAACATATCAACTTCATTAAAAGCAGTTGTTTTTGAATGCAAAAAAGTTAATAAACAGCACTCATAGTGTTAAAATTAATTGTCTCCCCACGTCGGCTTCTGTGGAAGTGATGCTATCATCATACCACTCCGGTATCTAGTAAATAGTAAACAGTTTCACAGTTGCGTTAATTTCTTCTATTTACATATTTTCACAAACTTGGAATAACATAATACAGCCATACCTAAGTGCCTTTTTGAAATTCTTTTTATTGATATCAATTCATTCATTTGCGGCCTTTTACGCAAACAGTTGGCGAATCAAATGAGCTAACATTGCCTTAACTTTAGTTGAGTAGGAAGCACATGAAATTAGCAAGTAATTATCGTTCCTACGACAGTCGGGTCTACGTAACCGGAGAATGACCCAGATTTTTATCTGGCCAAGGACTGTCACTTCAGCAACACTCACCAAAAATTCTTTGGGGTATATGTATGCTGTTACAACAACAGCAACAAATAGAAGTAAGTATCGGTGGCATTGGCAGTCATGCGATTATTGATAGAAAACAGGCAATTTTTACAGGTAGCTACCAAGTCCTAACACCTTCGGGCTTAGCTCTTAACTATAAATCAAATTTTTTGTTAAATAACATAAAATGGGACTTTGAACGAAAATCAACATAAAATAAAATACATTATCGCTATGCAAACCTATCGATTGCCACACTACACAATCGATGGTTGTTGATAACGGAGAACCATCGAAAGTATCGATAGTACCATCGATTGTTTGCCAACTCTAGTTGGATAGTTTTCTGTAGATTTTTGACGTGTGCGGTTGAAGTTTTCATTGTAGTCGATAAGCAAATAGAAAAGCCAGTGATATATTAACAAATATAAGTAAAGTAAATTTAATAAATGATAAACAAAAACATATATGCATTGTGCACTCATACATTAAAATCAAAGAAAGATTGAGTTCACGGCAAATGTGAAAGACGATACAAAGGACGAAGACTGAAAGATTCGCGTATGTATGTATATATGTACATGTTTATTCATTTGTCTCAAAATTCAGTCGGCAAATTATGGTGGAAAATGCTCAAGTTAAAATATGTATAATATATGTAGTAGAAACGATCTAAATTACATGTTATAAACATAAAGTTTAAAAGAAATGCAGCCAAATCAAGTTTCAGGTAGTTGACATTGCCATTATGTACATGTGCGCTGCCGTCGCCGCTGACGCGTACATTACAATTTAAAATGATTCTAGTTGATTTGCCCTTTTCGCTGTCTATTTTAAGGTTTAATTTTATTATATGCAAATGAATATTTAGTTAAACTAAATTAATATAAATTAATAATTCATAATCACACATTTCTGACAGCCAATTAGCGCTGTTTGTATGACGCGGCAGAAGATGGACTTTCTCTGAGCAGCGCAGTCGCTTTGTGTGCATTCTTTGTTACTTTCCATTTATGTTGGCTTGGACGCGTGTTTGCTTTATTACTTTTCAAACTATTAATAGAGATAACCAGTTTGCTGCATTTCTTATTTTTTATTTAATTTAATACTTATAAGTCTATAAATGTTTGCTCATGCTATTAGTAGATTCAATTTTATGGACATACAAATAGGGAATAGTGGGTGTAATGTTAATTCATGAAGTGCATGAATGTGCCATAGCTTGAATTTTCGGTACATTTAGTGGCAAATGTGCATATATGTAAATACATAAACTTAACTAAATAAGAACATTTTCCAAACCTTATTTGGTTTTCGATGTTTTATTTTGTACGGTGCAGAAAAAATGTGAATTTGCGTGAAAGCAACTTGGTTTAAACTTAAAAAAACCGAATACGCTGGCGTCCATTAAACTAAACAAAAAAGTTTAAGTGCTTCAAAAAAAAAAATTCCCCAATTCGTGTTGTTGAGTTGGTTTGTGCAGAACGGCGCTTTAAAAGGACGAGAAATAAAACAAAACACTTAAGACAAGGACTAAAGGTTAGTATGTATATCATACATTGTCAATCGCCTTATTAAATTAAAATCCAAATTTAATCAAAAGTAATTTTTAGAATCTAGGATATTTTTTTAAAAAACAATAATTTATTTATTATGAATTTAATTAAATATAAGATAAACCTGAGCTGAAATCGTAACATCCGTTCACGGATCGAAAACGATACGAAAGAAAATTACGTGATACGTGAGGCAGTATAAGCTGAATGGGCCAAAGAGTACATTCACGTATGTCATAATCCGAAAAATGTGCTTCCACGTGACGAGTAGTACGATATCGTATGTGACGATTCGAGCCCAGTTATTTGCTTTATCGTCACATGCCCCCCCAGAATATAATTCGGTAGGCCATTGTAAGCCCAAGGCGAGCTCTCAAATGTGCTCCTCTGCATTCCTTCTGGGTGGGCCGAAATTAATGTTTTTCACATGCGCATGTTGCTTAAGGGTCACAATTTTGTTATTATTTATCACATGTGCACGTTGCCAAAGGATTAAACTTGCCAAAAGTAGGGGGGGCCTCCGCCCCTCTTCTCAGGCAACAGAAATGAGAATTATATTTAGTAACGGTTATAGTCCCTAAGAGCGGCCGGATTCCGCCTACGCAAAAATAACTTTTTCAAGGTCTCCGAAGCATGGGAGCTCCACATTTATGAACAAGAAATGTTATATACCCTTGGCGGCCCCCTTCTTTGGCAAAACGGAAAGGCACAAGTCATTGCCTTGCATGTACTCAAAACAAGCGAAAACGCAAGTAAAAGTTGTGATTTTTCCCCCGGGGCCTAGGAAGTCGCAAGTTACATTTTTGCAGTTCATGCCCTCTCTAAAATGGGGTGTGTGAGGTTTCACTCCCCCCTGCAACAACACGATCGGTTTGTTTGTTGACCACTAACAAGAGCTAGTCTATAAAAACATTTGGTGTACTTATCCTGAAATGTAACTTCAATATTTTAATAGATAAGCATTTAATTTAAAATAATCATTAAAAATAATGCAAAATAAAAAAATAATGTAGTAATTTACTTAACTGCTTAAACAGTTCTAAAGAAATTTTGAAACAGAGTGTCATTTGATGTCAATATTGCATATCCTTTTAAATAGATTAAGAAAATGATGTACTATTTAAAAAAGAAATGCTATAATATAGGTACCTAACTGGTTAAAAAATTTTAACATATTTTGAAACTGGTGGCAACTCTCTTCAAAAATATTTTCGTTTGATAGCAATATTGCATATCCTTATTCAGTAGATTTTGATGGTTATTAAATAAAAGCATCGGGCCGCATGCATAAAAACCAAGCAATTGCTTTTTCTTAAAATTTCATACCTTTCACTTAAATATGTTTGAACAAGTAGAGTTCTGAAATTTTAAGGAAAAGCATTGCTTGGTTTTTATCATTTTTTGTCTGCATCCCCGGAAAAAGCAAAATCAAAACAAAGTGTAGCCAAAAACATGTCTATTCCATGTTTGAATAATTTTTGTACACAATTATTTTATTTTATTATTTTCATTAATTTTAATCTTACTCAACTTACATACATACATACATACATAGTGCATACTTCTTATTTTAAGCACGATCGTTCCTTATCAAATTTTCTTTAATGTTCATAAAAGTTTCATCGGTGGTTCGTTGTTGTTTTTGCTCTTTTGTACCTACCACACTTGCATTTAGTCCCATTCCTTCGTCTCAGCTTTTATGCTGCCATAAAGCATATAAATCAATAAGAAGCAATGTAGTGTATTCGCCGTTGAGATTTCTATGTGTGGGATTTGTTGTGTAGGCGATGCATGCATAGATTAATATTCTCTTTCCTATTCTGGAAATTGTTGTTGTTGTTGTTGTAGCCTCTTGCTATATATATGTAGGTATGTAGAAACTAGCTGCCATCCTTTCTTCTTTTTATCCTTCCTACCATACACATTTCCAGCTTATGCTCTTCGGTTAGTTTGTTGTCCTTAAATTAATTCTCTTCAATTATAATAGCTCTCTTCCTCTCGCTCTTGCCTCTCTGGACTTCAGTTTGATTTTTCCCAATTAGCTGTGCGACAGCACTCAATCTATCTAGCGAATGGCGCCTATACTCTTAGTTCGCACCCGCATTAAACCGTCTCGGTCCTTTATTGAGATGTTTAAAAGGAATTTTTTTGTTTGGTTACCTCTCAAGTGTTGTGAGTTCAGTTAAAACTGATTATTTTGAATACCATTGGCAGAGGTATCGTTTTTTTGGGATTTGCTTCTGTTTTGTTTCATAAATACAAATTAGTATCAATTATAAATTTATTAAAGTGTGAATAGATTTTATATGTATGTATATTTAGAACGCTCAAAAATCTGCGTATTGCAGTATACTTATTATTTAAATCTACAAGGTTGTTAGCTGTGTGGAGAAATGTAACCTTTGTAATAAACATGTAAATCTACTTAAATCAGTCTAGACATTTTTCCTTTGGTGTTGCAGATAATAGAAAATTCATTTTGATGTGAAGGTAGATCTAGCGATGTGTGAAGAATTAGTTATATGTTCAAGTACTCATGCTAACAATTCGAAGAAGTCTTATTAAAGGAAATGTTAAGGCTCAAAGTGCTAATGTAAATAAAAAAAAAATAAAAAAAAAATGTACAAGAGGAGAAAATATTTTGGCTAGTCTAAAACAATTTTTTTTTTACTATATAATCAACGATTTACATACATTGCCGCCGAGAGAAAATTCGGGTCGATCGAGTACTAAATATGTATATGCCTCATTCCCAATAAAAAGTTGTTAATAAAACGCTTTTAATAATTTTATGTTCGAAGTACATNATATGTTCAAGTACTCATGCTAACAATTCGAAGAAGTCTTATTAAAGGAAATGTTAAGGCTCAAAGTGCTAATGTAAATAAAAAAAAAATAAATAAAAAATGTACAAGAGGAGAAAATATTTTGGCTAGTCTAAAACAATTTTTTTTTTACTATATAATCAACGATTTACATACAGGGCCGCCGAGAGAAAATTCGGGTCGAGTACTAAATATGTATATGCCTCATTCCCAATAAAAAGTTGTTAATAAAACGCTTTTAATAATTTTATGTTCGAAGTACATATTTAAATTCCCGAAATTCCCACTCTCGACTGGCCTGTATAGCTTTATGTGCGCAGCATGAGACTGTCGTAATATTTTCCCCCATAACTTTGTAACTGTCTCCTTAAAAAATCGAAAATCCAAAAAAAAAACTACGTCTTAAAATCTTAAATTCTTCATTCGATATTTTCCTTGCCAATACCCCCTTAGAGTGCAACGCCGTAAATTTATGGCTGTATGTTCTAGGATTAGATTTCAATTCCTTTTTTCAACAACCCATTCTAATGCTGTCACTTGTTCTTTTTTATAATTTTATCCAAACCTCTCTTTTTATTCTCCCCTCTATATAGAATTTTTTTCATTCAATGTTTTCCCTATTTCTCTAGTCTCTCAGTTTTACGCTTCCTAAACAGGAGAGCCTACTCCAGCCAACACGACAAGCTCATGCCTTTCCCACCACGTAAAACGAGTTGCCACTTTAGCGTCGTTGTTCAGCAACGATACTGGTTTTTATACATGCACGCATACATGTTGTATGTTTATACTTATTCATTTGTTGTTGTTNATTCCCACTCTCGACTGGCCTGTATAGCTTTATGTGCGCAGCATGAGACTGTCGTAATATTTTCCCCCATAACTTTGTAACTGTCTCCTTAAAAAATCGAAAATCCAAAAAAAAACTACGTCTTAAAATCTTAAATTCTTCATTCGATATTTTCCTTGCCAATACCCCCTTAGAGTGCAACGCCGTAAATTTATGGCTATATGTTCTAAGATTAGATTTCAATTCCTTTTTTCAACAACCCATTCTAATGCTGTCACTTGTTCTTTTTTACAATTTTATCCAAACCTCTCTTTTTATTCTCCCCTCTATATAGAATTTTTTTCATTCAATGTTTTCCCTATTTCTCTAGTCTCTCAGTTTTACGCTTCCTAAACAGGAGAGCCTACTCCAGCCAACACGACAAGCTCATGCCTTTCCCACCACGTAAACGTAAAACGAGTTGCCACTATAGTNTAATTTTATCCAAACCTCTCTTTTTATTCTCCCCTCTATATAGAATTTTTTTCATTCAATGTTTTCCCTATTTCTCTAGTCTCTCAGTTTTACGCTTCCTAAACAGGAGAGCCTACTCCAGCCAACACGACAAGCTCATGCCTTTCCCACCACGTAAAACGAGTTGCCACTTTAGCGTCGTTGTTCAGCAACGATACTGGTTTTTATACATGCACGCATACATGTTGTATGTTTATACTTATTCATTTGTTGTTGTTGCAAGAAACTTGTTGTCCTCAACATTTTACTGACTAAAGTTGGAATTTACGAGCGCAAACACACTCTGTGGCACAGTGCTTTCTGTGTGTTGCAATTGGTAATGGAAAAAATTTAGTAGAAAAATGCTAAACAGAATAGAAACTCAGAAGCAAAAAGAAGTGGATTAAACGCTGCTTGGCTCTTTCTTTCAATCTCCCTTGGGCGCAATATCTACATTTGTCTTCCCGACATACTTGAGGTANCCCATTCTAATGCTGTCACTTGTTCTTTTTTATAATTTTATCCAAACCTCTCTTTTTATTCTCCCCTCTATATAGAATTTTTTTCATTCAATGTTTTCCCTATTTCTCTAGTCTCTCAGTTTTACGCTTCCTAAACAGGAGAGCCTACTCCAGCCAACACGACAAGCTCATGCCTTTCCCACCACGTAAAACGAGTTGCCACTTTAGCGTCGTTGTTCAGCAACGATACTGGTTTTTATACATGCACGCATACATGTTGTATGTTTATACTTATTCATTTGTTGTTGTTGCAAGAAACTTGTTGTCCTCAACATTTTACTGACTAAAGTTGGAATTTACGAGCGCAAACACACTCTGTGGCACAGTGCTTTCTGTGTGTTGCAATTGGTAATGGAAAAAATTTAGTAGAAAAATGCTAAACAGAATAGAAACTCAGAAGCAAAAAGAAGTGGATTAAACGCTGCTTGGCTCTTTCTTTCAATCTCCATTGGGCGCAATATCTACATTTGTCTTCCCGACATACTTGAGGTATTTTTTTTTTGGCACTGGCTTCTTTATTTGTTGATTTTGTGATTTTTTCTTACTAACTTTGTTTCAAAGGCTAGAAGGTAAATGCTGCCCTGGATGTCAAGGAGACCTTTGTTCAGAGCTTTCAACAGAATACGTTCTCATGATCGAAAGCAGGACACTTGATAAAGAAATGTTGAAATGAGTCCGCGATGATTTTAAGTCCTACCGTATGGGTTTCTAATAATAATGCCCGGTTATTACCGCGAGTTGGCGAGGACTTTGCATTTCGGAGCGCTTGCTGAGCCGTCTAAAGTCCCATCTGTTCAGAAGTAGTATCCAGGTTATCATTGGAGCACTAGCGCCCGCCCAGTTTTTAGAGAGGACCTCAGGGGTACTCTGCCTTGCCAATTCATCAGTCATGCAGTTTCTTCCACTGTACTGGTACCCAAATCACCTTGTTTTCAAAGTTATCTTGGGTGATCGAGAAATAGGTCAAGCATTCCCCCACCAGTTTCGGTCGTTCCATGAGGGATCCTATCAGATTAGATATTTACCTTTCTAATCGGTATTACATTGGTGCGTAGCAAGTCGACTGCCTCGGCAGCCTGAACTTGAGATTTAAAAATCAGAAAACACCTGCTCCAACTTTGTCGCCCAACTTCCACCCATTGATGAAGATATTGTTCCAGAGACTGCATCTCCCACTCACCCATTCACCCCTTAGAGGATAGAGAAGTATCCGTTCGGAACCAGCCTCGGTACTGATCCTTATTTTCAGTAGGAAGTCGAAGTTTCCAAAAATTGCCGAGTGCGGTTTCTATCATTCTTGAATACAAACCACCTTATCACATTCTCACTTAAACTAGTCATCTAAGTAATAGCCTCTCCGTTAAGTTCGACCCGGAAAAGTTCGTATCGTGGGTCACTCGAATGGGTGAGCTCGATGTGTCTTCGAGTTAGAATTGAATGGGGTTTAAATTCACTCGGAACTTAATTGCAGAATCTGCCTGAAAATTTCGACCCTTTTCAATTGAAACAGTACATACTGGCTACAAAGCCTGTAGAAATTTCCCCAGTTCTTATTCAAATGATACCACTGTATTCCAGTCATTGAAAGGCCCAACAAACACGCGCGCACANTAGTCATCTAAGTAATAGCCTCTCCGTTAAGTTCGACCCGGAAAAGTTCGATGTGTCTTCGAGTTAGAATTGAATGGGGTTTAAATTCACTCGGAACTTAATTGCAGAACCTGCCTGAAAATTTCGACCCTTTTCAATTGAAACAGTACATACTGGCTACAAAGCCTGTAGAAATTTCCCCAGTTCTTATTCAAATGATATCACTGTATTCCAGTCATTGAAAGGCCCAACAAACACGCACGCACGCACACAAATGATCCACGATGCCGGTTACTCGTGCAATCATTGCTACCCAGTAGGTGGCAGGTAGTAGATACACAAAATCAACTCCAAACTTGTAGTATAGGCGGCCGCCAACGAATTTTCTTGCTAGCTGCTCCTGCAAGTGAACATGTAGGCAGCTGTTAGCGGAGAGTAAAATCAAAAACTGGCTTGCTCACTGGCTTGCTCACTGCCTTTCTGCTCTTAAAATTTAGCGTTCTCTTTTGTTGGGGATAGAGGGCGGGGGTGGCGCTGAAAGCTCCTGGGCGCATGTGAGGCATATGGAAAAGCAAAAAAAAAAAAAATAATTTATATGCTGAGTGCATTTGTCAGCTGCTTGACTCTTTTCGTGTTGTCTTTTTTTCCTTTATTCGAATCCTACTCCCAAGCTTTGGGATACCTACGCCATGCACGAACGATTGAATTCAGTTTCAGTTCAACGGAGTGCACTCGCACAATTCGGTTCGAATTGCGGTTTATGCAGCGTGAAAATTTAACGCGAAAATTCACCAAGAATATGTATTTAGATGGATACCCACACGGTGTGCACTGAATGACTGACTGTAGGACTAACTTGCTGGCTAACTGCCGCACTGACAAGAATTTTTCGGACAAAAAATGTGTAGTGATGTGGTAGAAAATTGTACTACTATGTGCTTAGAAGTGTGGTGATGGTAAAGCTGAGAAAAACGCGTAGAAAGAAACAAATTATTACTTACACACGTCCAAGATTGTACGCTGCTGCTTATGTATTGAAGGAAAGTTTCTTTGAAAAATCAATGCAAATCAAATTGCGTTTATTAAATTGTGAATGCGTTAAAGGAAACGGAAATTTACTTAAGTGAAGTTAAAAAGTGTAGCAAAATGAAGAATGCAGAATAAGAAAGTTGAGAGAAATACAATTTGATACAAAAGTACGCAACTTTGGGAAGAAAATCGGATATAAACATTTTAAAAGTGGCCATAAAAATCAAAATTAAAAATGGTAATGTTGGAAAAATGTTGTATACCATTTAAGGCATATTCAATACATAAGTATTCATAGTTATACATATGTAAATACTACTTGTGCAACTGTATGTATTTGTGGCCTGTGTCGGTATGCGTAATTGGCGTAACTATACGCAAAAGCGCTTCGGCGGCATGCCTAAATCGTGCGGCTACTACGCTCGTACTCGTAATATTTCCTGCAGCTACGACGGCAGAAGAAGGAACTGCTCGAGTATGGGCAAATATACGTCATACATAAGTGCATACATATTTATATACATATACAAAATGTAGGAAAGGGTAGGGGACAGGCGCGTGGCGCGCACTATAGTTGGAACTTAACCACACCGCAAGTAAAATGTGCCAAAACCCATGCAACGGTGGGTGGGTGAAGGGAGAATGGGACCATGCTGAAGATGGGCTTTAAAGGAGCGAAGAAGCAACGAAAGATGGGGCTGCAGCTATGAAAAACTGTTACCGGTGCGCACTATGGGCAGCATTGTTTGGATGTTGAGGATGGAGGCCATGGAGTTGTTGCCAGTGTTAGTGGCTAAGTGCTGGCTTTGCTGATGGCAATGTGGGCTAGCCAAGCCCGCTGCGTGTCATGAACTCTAGATATATATGTATGTATATAAAAGTGCACTTAGATGTAAGGACGGTAGTGCATACAACAGATAGCCATCGACTCCGAAGACGTTGTGCTTCATTGGAGACACGCATTCTGTGCGTTGATTGTTGGCTGGATATTTGCTTTAAGTTAAATATACAAATATGCATACATATATATATTTATGTCTTACAGTAGTTTAAGGCCTATACTATACATCAGTTGGAACAATGGAATGGTCGCTTGACGCAGTGCGGCACGCAATACACTATGATGTATGTAGTTGTAGAAATGTATATACATATCGATGTTCAGGGGGCCTGTTAGGATTTTGCCAACCTGCAGCATTCCATATAAATTTTTGTTGTTATTATTTTTATGTTTCTTGTTAGCTTTTGTTTCATAGGTCTATCTTTTTCTTTATTATTATTTTCCCGAACTTTTTTTTTCTTCTGTTAGACTCTTGGTACTTAAACGGGCTGCATCTTCCGCAAATCTTCTAGTGCTGCCGCTGCGGCTGATACGAAGAAGACATGCGTGCTTGACAGCTTCTGTTCTTAGCAAAGTTTTGTTTGTGGTCTTTGTTTTTGCTATGTGCTGTCATTGTCACTTTGCATAATGCATATCTACATACATTCATCATGATTCTCCTGTTGGCTGTGCAGGCATCCTCTTCGGTCAGCTACTTCTGAACTACTTCGGTGGAAAGAGTAGAGAACTGGAAAAGATACATATTAATATTACAATGGAATTCTATGTGAATTATGGATACTAAAAATTGCCTGCCGAAAACAGCAACAGTTAACTGTTTTATTATTTACTCTTTCTAAAAACTTTTATTTTAAATTTTAAATATTTACATACTCGATTGCCCCTCACCCGCTTCGTTAAGTGTAAGGAATTTCTGTGTACTACATTAGGCGTAATTTATTTCAATAAAACTCAAAATGCTTAAACTACTGGGGATATGTTTTCAATTAACTTATTCCTTGAATTCAAGCCAAACTTAAGCTTTTAAACAGGTGGCAACGCGCCTTTTCAAAACTCCTTCGATTGTAATAATTCATTCAAATTATTAAATAATTTGAATTAACATTTTTAAATAGGTGGGAAGGTTTTCTTAAGCCTCTTTCGTCTGACACCCATATTGTGATACATGAATTTGATTATTTAAACAGGTGGCAACCCTGCTGCATGTTGCTTAGAAATAAATCCTTTCCACGAACATTTTGATTGATGCCGATATGTGTTATAATTATTCATTTATCTTATTAAATAATTTAATTTGAATAAATTTTAAAAGAGGTGGCAACCCTTTTCAAAACACCGCAGAAATTTCGACATGTTCAAATTAAAGGTGTCTGAACACTCTTGCGTTTGACACTTTAACTAGTGTATAATTTAATAAAATTCTACTTTTAAAACAGGTGGCAACCCTTTTCAAAATATTTCCAAAGTAAAATCTTGTTAAACCTTTTTCGTCTGACGCCCATACTCCATTCATCTAATTCCCCTAATTCAAGTAAATTTTTTCTTTAAAAAAAGGTGGCAATCCTCCTACATGTACATAGTTTAAAGATAAAGCTTCTTCAAAACCGTTTCGATTGATACCCATTATTGCTATAATTCATTTAAATTAATTGAATTTAATTTTTAAGCAGTTGGCAACCCTTGTCAAACACCACAATAATATACTAAAGCTTCAAACTAAATATCTCATAACAATATTTCGATTCAACCCCATATTTTTAAATTTCATATAGCTTGCGAATATGTAATTAATTTACATTTGACTTTTCAAACAGGTGGCAATCCCTTTCGAAATGTTTTCAAATTTCAACCTTTTTAAGCCTCTTTTGTAATCCAAATTTCAAATAAATTCAAGTCGAATTTGATTTTTTTTAAACAGGTGGCAGCTCTCCTCCATAAGTACGGAATTAATTTTATATACATAGTATATGTACATATATACATATTTTCATCCAAGTTCCAGTACTCTACCAAAACTACTTACTAGGGCTATTCGCGATTCGGTGCATAAGAGCTGACAAATTTATGCAATTGCAGAAATATGCCATGGATTGTGAGCGACCTTTATTAAACTGTCATGGTAAAGCTTTTGCAAAACAATTTTTGTGCATCAGCTTTGGTTTTGTTTATGAATGCAATGCATAGCATTTTTATGCTATGGATTTTCGGTATTGCAAATTTGCCAAGCCATGACAAATGCAAATGCGTGTATTTTGTTTGTGCATTGCAAATTATTTGCAATACAAATTTGCAATGCAATGATGCTAGGCCATTTGCACCGGATCGCGAATAGCCCTACTGAGATATGCAGTATGAAAAATTATAGGATAAAAGGCTATTTGGATGTTTTATAGACGATAGATACACTTCATGCATTCCATCCGAGGTGCCATCATCAACTCGGATCACTACCTTTGTTGCAGCTAAGGCGATCCGTTCAATGAATAACGTGCCTCAGATAGCGCAGTGAAAGTTCGACGTCAAAAATTTGCCGAGAAATTTCGTTGTGGACCCTTAATCCTGCTTAGCAAGAAGCTTCTCCTCGACGAAGGTACGGAAGTTGTGGTTGGTTACTATCAACCTCGCATTAGCAACCGGTATGACCGCTGCTGCATTGAAATCCGCAACATACCAAGCAAAGGTAGACATATTTCCAAGAGCAAGAAAGACTTTGTCTTTGAAATTATTGAAATCTGATAACAGAAATCCAATGTACACTAGAGAAACGAAGGGAATAGTTTTCAAAGCGATGCGGCAACTCAATGTGAAGAGAAGAGGCTTACGTGCCTCCTTTCGAATAAGACGAGGGGAGATAAGCCATAATGCAGCTTAAAACCACAAAGTCTCTAGAGCCCACAGACTATCGACTGAGCTGGTCAAAGCCGGCTACAAGGAGCTGGTGAGGCACAGGCACCAGCTGTTAAGTTCAAATTGGTATTGATGAATACATGCCCGAAGATTGGGATCTCATTCTATAAGAAGGAAAGTAAAAATCTTAGTAAATAACAAAACCTCGAGTTCTAAGTATGCAAACCTTATTCCCTCACTGTGTTAGTTCCCACGCTCGCTCGAATTGATCACTTTTCAGCTTTCTTTATCTGCGAAACCATCTGCTTTTGATCTTTTATTTATCCCCTGCGACTACGAATTGCTTGCCCACACTTGGTCTACAACCACCAATGGAACATTCGCTTGATCGAAGTGGTCAATATAATTCTTGCCTCTTTGCTTATCCATTAACTCGTTCACACTATCGCCTTTTTTAATAGTCCCTTACATTCGCCATTTACCCAGCAAGAAAAGCTAAAAAATAAACCTTTCAGTCCGTCCGCTTTACGGCTCCCTTGTATTGTTTCTACGAAATGACGTGTTGCACAGTTGGCTTGCAGTAACTGCCAGTTCAATTTCAACGACACTAAAAGCAAACCCCAAAGCTTAAGCCAACACGCCAGTCCGTACACAGCCTGCCTGCCCATCTTTTTCATTAAAAAACAACATCTTCGGTGTATGTAACGGGATGTGTGTTTGTGTGCCTGTTAATGTCTCAAGAGTATGCGCTCTATACTCCTACAGCAGTTGGTCATGTTGGCAAGTTTTGGTTTTTTGATCATGACAGTTGGCTGACACTCGCAACACATTCAGTTAGGCAGGCGGCAGGCAGGCAGCCTGTGTAAGCCAATTCAGACACGGGCATACAGGAAACTTGGCTAGGCCATAACATAAAATGCAGAACGCGGCGCATCATTTAAGGCAAGTTCGGCCAACCAGTCCGCCAGCAACTAAGTACATACATACGCATGCACATTTGTACTTAAGTACGTATGTATGCAGCTAGCCGCCAGTTAGCTCCAGCAGTGCCTTTGTTGGCACAGGAAAGGCAATGTTTGATGTATTTCCACTTAGCCGTGCGGTCCAAAGCTGTGATCGGTAAGCAGCGCGCTGTTGGAGATCCGCCAAATGCCAAATGCGCGCTGACGCTTAAGAAACTCTGAAGACTCAAGTAAAGAAACTGGTTTATCGCTGGCCATTCGGTGTTGCCGCTTGATGGTTTGTGCTTGAAAATGTTGTCATTCGTTTTTTATTTTCGTCTCTTTTGTTGCTTATTTTTCATTGTTTGTTTTGTCTTGGCCATATCGCTCACTGCGCCTAGCTTGTTTTGCTGTAAATTATAATTTTTCTTTACAGCGTTGTTTTGTATGCTAGACGATCTTCCAACACAGCAACACCAGTTTAATCATCGCCTGACTTTACCTTTAAGCGACTTGTTGCTTTACCTTACCTGTATCTTCATGCATACATAGTTATGTATGTATGTATGTACACACAGAACGGTCGTTCTTGTCACCGTTTTTATTATT